ACTTCCCACCTCGGCAATATTGGAGGGGGGGACCTGGAGTTGAGTGCAAATGGCAGGGTTATTGGGGTGGCTGCCGCCTTGGGTTTGGGGCAAACGAACACCTCTTTGGGACTGGCCACGTTGGGGCCTGTTTAGCTGTGCCTTGGGTTGGCACTCTAGATCCCCTCGACAGGACCTCCAAGTGTCTCTTGGGTTGGCACCAGTGCTCCCTCTAAGCTGCGGAGCCTTGTGAGCAAAAATTCTACTTTGGGAGCGACTGGCATTAAAGTTGCGAGCGAGCGATTTGGCTGCTGCATGAATTACTTTGCTCTGGAGCCCTCCTTCCTGCGCTAAGACAAAAAATGTGTGAGCCGGAAGGTAAGAAACTGTGAGCTAGCTCACACTAACGCAGCTTAGGGGGAACACTGGTTGGCACCCAATTGTTGTGGGAGCAAATCAGCCCCAGCCTCTGTGTTTTGATGAAGGGCCTTGGTACATGCCCCACCTGTAGGGTTCCCATTTGCCCACTCATGGGCAGAGACCTCCAGGTAATTGAGGCCCTTGACCACTGATGCTCACCTGATCGGCAGGCAGAAACTTGGGCCAAAGAGGGAGAACATGATAGTTCTGGGGAGAAAAATTAAAAACAAGGCCTCATCCACTTATAGGAAGTTCTAACCATAGCATTCCTGGCAATTCCTAGAACTATATTCATCACTTCTGGGTAGCTCTAGGAATCACCAGGAACTCTAAGGTCTGAACTTCCTGTAAGTAGACGAGGCCTTGTTTTATTTTTAATTTTTTTCTGGGATGCTGTCTTTCCCCACAACCCTCCCGCCAGTAGTCCCTTGAGAGTCAACCCAAGTTCATGTCCTTTTGTGTAAAAAACCCCCGCTACAACAAAAGTCTTATTTAATTTCTGTCATAACAAAGATTTACCCTGCTGACAACACAATACTCTAAAGTCATACAGCAGAAAAACAAGAAAACTAGCTTAGCTATCTAACACACTTTCAGAACTTGCATTAGATGGCACAGACCTTAACTCCAAGAACCAAAGGCCACAGCTTAAGTGTTCTCAACTTTGCTGTCTATTGCAATAGGAGCAGCCCATCAAAATCCAAAATCTAGCTAGCTTTTCCAAGTTCTTAGCTCAATTATTGGGGATTTTTTTGGCCAAGCAGCATCAGGTGACGATGACATCCAGTCAGTCAGTACAGTCTTGCTGGAATCCTCTGGAAAATTACCTCATCACTCTTGACCTCCTCCCTCCCATCCTGTGGGCCACAGGCTCTCCTGATAAGCTAATTACCACTCTTCCAGCTCTGGCCTTGAAGATGATAAGGGCTATGGAGGTCGAGAGACCAATTAGTAACACTTGCAGGATAAGGAACCCAATACCGTGCACATTAACCCTTGAGGGGGGGGGTGAAGAGGGCTTTGCCTCACATTGGCCCTTTGGCCCTTTCCACACTCTTCTTTTAATCCATGTTCACCGGTGTGTCCTCCAAACAATTCTGCACTACAATTGAATTGTACTTTTTCTTTATTCCAAACCCCACCCCGCCCCCGAGTTCTGCAATAAAACCAAATTCAACCTTCTTTTCAGGTAGGGTTGCCAATAGGGTTGCCAATTTTTTTTTACCTACCGGCGGGGGTCCTTCCTGCCGGTCCGGGAGCTCTGTGTGGATGCGTGCGCGCGCGCCGCCAGGACATCACCAGAAGTGACGTCACACGCTGGGCGGGGCCACGCTGTTTGAGGGGAAAACAAAGAGTTTTCCCCTCAAATGGCTGCCATTTGAGGGGAAAACTCTTTGTTTTCCCCTCAAACGGTTAGGGTTGCCAAGTCGATCTTCTGCCAGAGCGGGGGGCTCCCGGCTGGCATCTGGTGTGTGCGCGCGCTGCATGCAAGTCACCCGGAAGTGACATGATGAAGGCAGGCACGCTGGGGGCGGGGGCATGGCCATACGAGGGAAAACCATAGAGTTTTCCCTCGGATTGCCATGGCCCCGCCCCCAGCATGCCCGGCGTGGTTGTGTCACTTCCGGGTAACGCGCACGTCGGGGTGGAGTTCCCCCGGGGGCCCGATCTGGCGGCGGCAGGGAATGGGCCTCTGAGGTGGGGGTTTCCCTGCCCCCCGGGGGGACTTGGGAAGCCTATTTTCAGGGCTTTTTTGGTAGAAAAAGCCCAGCAGGAACTCATTAGCATAACAGGCCCCACCCAACAGCAGAAACTCATTAACACATTAGGCCACACCCCTGACAGCACAACTCATTAGCATATTAGGCCACGCCCCCATGTTACCAGAGGTGTGGTCATCCAGCCACACCCACCTTTTGCTTCTTATTCTGTTTACCTTGTTTGTTGTCAAAACCCAGGGCTCTTTTTGGAGCAGGAACTCCTTTGCATGTTAGGCAACACACCCCTAATGTAGCCAATCCTAATGAGTTTCTGCTCTTGGGTGTGGCCTATTATGCTAATGAGTTCCTGCTGGGCGTGGCCAACTCGGAAGCCAGCCGGAACTCTGTTCCTGTGTGTTCCTGCCCCAAAATAGCCCTGCTTCTTTCTATTCTGGGCTTTCCCCCCATTCTAAGTTACATTCCCTCCCTTCAGTGGTCAGCCCGATTTCAGCCTGCTGTTGTCCCCGGGGTTTTTAGTTGCTGTTTTGCCGCAGACTTCAATTGCCTCAGCTTGAACACTGAGAAGATCTGGAGTGGCAGGCAAATGCGGAAAAGATCTTTGCCTTTCCCCATTTTCCCTACCTGAGATGGGCATGCGGGGGGACCATTATTTGCTCTATCAGGGGGCTGCAGCCTGCACATGAAAGAATTCTGTGCAGCCTCCCCACAGGGAAATTAACACACACAGAGAGACCATTCCAGAACCTTCCCTCCCTCTGCATTGTGATTCTGTTCCAAATTGGGTCCCACAAACATTGAGATGCAGTCCCTACCAATGGAGCCTGAGGAGTGCGGGAAAGGAACTCAGCAGAATGCCGCGTCAACCCTGCAAAGCAGCCATTTTCTCCAAGGGAACTGATCTCCTGTCAGCTGGAGATCAGTTGTAATACCAGGAAATCTCCGGGCTCCCCCAGAGGCAGACAACCCTAATACATTAGGAAAATAAGATCACCCCAACTAACACAAGACAGAGAACACAAAGACCTCTTTAATTAAAGGGACCTGAGCATTCTATTTGCCTGATGATTAGGGTTACTAGCTGCTTGGTGGGGCCTGGAGATCTCCAAGAATTACAAATAATTTCCGGGTGACAGAGATCAGTTCCTCTGCAGAAAATGGTTGTTTGGAAGTGTAGACCCTGTGGCATTATACCAGACTGAGGCCCCTCCCCTCCTTTCCCCAAACAGGATCCTCCCCAAGCTCCAACCCCAAATCTCCAGAAACTTCCAGACCCAAAGTTGGCAAGCCTCCTGATCAGGAATTCCAAAGAGCTTGCAAGCTTCACATAGTATCATGTTATTTTGAATGGTCTTCCTAAAAGGTACTGCATGACTTGGCTTCTGTATAAAATTATGTTTCTTAAAAATACAGTTGTCAAGTAGTCGCCATATTTCTGAGTTTTATCTTTTTTTTTTTTACAGTATTGAAGTTGCAACCCAAAAAATGCCGATGAAAATGAGCCAAAGTCTCAGGTAGGGCTGGTGCTGTGTCAGTGAAAGTTGTTATATTTAATTTGCTATTAATTGTAAGTATAATTTCATACAATACTGTAAAATAATATAAGATTGGGTGTGTCCATGTTTAACATTTTTGTGCAAAAATGTGGCTTGCATCCTGAACCTTTTCTGCTTTGGAAAAAAATCTTTGAAACACAGCTTTATACTGGCAACTGTGTCAGCAGGACCTGATGTTCTTCTAATTAGGATACACTAATGAAGTGTGAAATGCATCTTCTCCTTAAGAAGACTATTCCCATTTGATGGACTTTCTGTATAAGGACTTTGTTCCTACTGATGAAATTTCCTAAGGCGTTGGAAACAAAGATTGTACTTTTCTATGACATTATTTATATTTTTCTTATGCTACATGTACAGCACTGCTCATTTAAAAAATATATAAAAATATAAAATGCATTTGCAAGTACTGTTAAGTAGTAAGGCTATCACAATTTAATCTCATTTGGAAGTTATTTCTGTGATTCTCTCTCTCTCTCTTTCTTTTCTCCTATGGTCACCCCAATAACAAGATGGCTAGTGTTGTCAGATGTATAGCTCCTATATATTACTCTGAGTGGCCTCTTTAAGGAACCACCTGACCAAGCAATGCCCGGTTTCTATACAACACCTTGTGGACCCTTTAAAGAGCTGCCAGCAACAGCTCCAGCTGGACCTGCCCAGCCAGGCTATCAGCAACCAGGAACAGGTGTGGGAGTTCAGGGACAGCTGTTGGCCCTATGTTCAATTAAGCCAGGGGGGAAAGGATGGAGCTGTTAACCCCCTCCTCTCTGAAGCATTTTGGAGATCTCAAAAGCGGACGGTGTTCGTAGAACAAAGTTTGAGTCCAGTGGCCCCTTTAAGCCCAACAAAGTGCTTGTGATAGCTTAATTTGAGCTAATAAAGAGGCATCAGGATAGCTTCATTGGAACGAATAAAAAGGCATCACACACTTTTTTGTGGGGGTGGGCTCGATTTTACACGCCTTAGTTTACCCAGCCCCCATCCCTCGCTGTGAGATGTCACCCCTCTGGTCCATCTGAGGATGCCGCAGACACCTGTCGCCAAGGTTACCGCGCCAGAGATGCAGCCCCTTCTGATTGGCTTACACACTTGCCCGTCAGGTCCTTGAAGCCCCTCCGCGCGCGGAAAGGCGGGAGTGGGACCCGATGCGCTCGGTTGCCGAGCTCAGGCTCGCCTATCGGACGCGGCGATCGTCAAGAAAAGGTCGAAAGCGTGGCTTTGATTGGCGGACGAAGGGGCGGGAAGGTAGCGGCAGCCGGTGATTGGTCGCTGAGCGGAGCGAAAGAGGCTGCGAAAGGAGGATAAAGGAGGAGTCTGAGGGGGCTGATCGGCACAATGAGCTTTGGTTGCTTAGTGCGGAGGACGTTGCTGTGTGGAGTGTTGACGGCGCGGGGGCTGACGCGGACCATGGTAAGTCGGGGCCTGGCGGAGGCGGACTACGTCTCTCCGGTGTGTCGTTCTAGCACCCTTGTTGTCTATGGCCAGGCTCTGGAGTCTTTTGCCCAGAGCGTCTCCCCAGGAATGATGCGGCTGAAGGTCACCCCTCACCCACCTTTCTGAAAACCAGTTTTCTCTATCATTTCATATTCTGGGGCTGTTGTTCCCATGACTCTCTGGGGCATGGACTTTCCTGAGTGGCCAATAATTCTCTTAATTCTCCTGGTTTCCCATAATCCTTTGTGGGAGCCACTGTGGGCCACTGTCCCATAACTCTCTTTGGCTCTTCAGGATGTGGCTGCTCCTTTTTTGCTTTTTTTTGGGGGGGGGCAGCCTGCTCTTGTTCTCTAGAGGCAGGGTTGCCAGGTCGTTCCTGGTCACCAGTAGGGGATGGGGGGGAGGTAGGGTTGCCTTATCCAGGTTGGGAAACTCCTGGGGATTTGGGGCTGGATTCTGCGGAGAATGGACCTCAGTAGGGCATAATGCCACCGAGTGTGTCCTGCAAAACATCCCCACCCACCCACAGGATTTTCATAAAGATTGCAAAAAACTCCTCCTCTCAACCCCCTGTCCACCTTCAAAGACAACATGCAATCTCCTGCCAACTCTTATCTGCCATGGATTATTCATCTGTGACCTTTACAGAAGGCCGTCATGGAAAAAGTGGGCTTGTATTTTATGGTGGGAACCAGGTTCTTAGATTGGTGGGATGTAAGATGCTAAAGATTGAGAGCCACCTTGTTGCAGCATCATTTATCGGGATGTGTTGACTAGGGAACCGATCTCTGCAGTCTGGAAAAGTGCTGTAATTCTCTGGACCCCCAGGCCCCACCTGGAGGTTGGCATCCCTATGACCAGAGAGTCCTCTAAGAGCTTTGTTTCTCTCCTTGGTAGCCTCCAGGTAGAGCCTGGAGTTGCAACTGATTTCCAAATGACAGATCTGTTCCAGTGGAGAAAATGGCTGCTTTGTAGGGTGGGCCTGAGAGCCACCTTGTTACAGCACCATTTAACGGGATGTGTTGACTAGGGAACTGATCTCTGCAGTTTGGAGAAGTGCTGTAATTCTCTGGACCCCCAGGCCCCACCTGGAGGTTGGCATCCCTATGACCAGAGAGTCCTCTAAGAGCTTTGTTTCTCTCCTTGGTAGCCTCCAGGTAGAGCCTGGAGTTGCAACTGATTTCCAAATGACAGATCTGTTCCAGTGGAGAAAATGGCTGCTTTGTAGGGGGGGCCCTATGGTGTTATATTAGGCTTGCCAGTTCTAGGCGGAGGAGTACGGGTTTGGGGAGGGGCCTCAGTAGGGTATCATGCCACAGAGTCCACCTTCCAAAGCGGCTGCTTTCTCCAAGGGAACTGATGCCTGGAGATCTATTGTAAAACCCCCCCCACCCCGGGGGGGACACTCCCCTTTTTACCAGGAATTTCCCAACCCAGAAGTGGCAACCCGACTTCATTTTGCCATGGGGAGTGGGGGTTACTCACCATGTTGGCGTTTCTTCCTATGATCCACTAGAGTCTTTGCCTTCTGGGAAGACCACCAATGTCCATGGCTTGCTTGAGAGACACTCCCCTCTAGCTTCCCATGATTCCTTAGGAGCAGCGTTCTTCTGCTGGGTTTCTCCATGCATCTTGCTAATTAAGATCCTGTCTGTGTCTTCTGTTTTTCCTCTAAGAGAGACCTGTTTTTGGTGGTCCTTCAAGGGTTTTTTTTACTGTCTCTCTTTTGGGTAGCCCACTCTTACTATCATCCTCTTGGGTTACCGTATTTTTCCCTCTTTTGTGTCAATATTCCTCCAGAGGGTGGTGTGGTATGAGTTTCCTTAGTGAGTAGCCAAATTTTCATATGATCCTGTATGAATGTTTATCCCACCTTCTTTCTGAGGACCTCAGGGTGGCATGCCTTTACTCCTCCTACAACTGTTGTGAGGGAGATTAAGGTGCTCTGTCCCTCACTTGATTTTGTATTAGCAATTCGGTACATTAGCTGCGGTGGCTCAAGTGGTTAAGACGCTGAACTGCAGGCTGTGGAAGGTCAGTAGTTCAGCAGTTCGAGACCCGGGTGCCGCATGATGGAGTGAGCTCCCATCTCTAGTTCCAGCTCCTGCCAACCTAGCAGTTCGAAAGTTGTATTAGCAATTCGGTACATTAGCTTTAGCTTTTACTTTTTGAAATGCACAGTGGCTTGGCACCACCTGTTTTTGTAAAAGATGACCTAATACAATAATAAGATGATATGCTTTGGTGCCTCTGAGAACATCAGGTGCTGACTAAGGTGTTCCTGGGCCTCGCCCTCCCCCACTCCTTTCTTCATGCTGCAGAGAACATTTAGTGTAGACTGAGAAACCACTGTACTCAGATGCTGCAGAGTGATCAGTCCAAATAAACACTTTTTTGCACCTGAGCCCTGGAACGGATGGCAGCTGCTTTAGTTGCTCCCTTGAATACAAGATAATGAGAGGAAAATGATAAACAGCTTTGTTTGGTCCTCTCTGTGTATCCCAAGTCATCTGATCAGCATTATTTTGTTTTTTGGGGGAAAGACATCAAGAATGTGTTGGGTTAATAACAGCAAGGACAAAAAAAGGGGGGGGATTGAACCTAAAACCTAGAATTCAGGACCTAAAACGGCTAGTCAAGAATGGAAGAGGGCCAACTCTAAAAATCTAATTATGGAACATACAAAAATATACATGTATTTATTAAACACAAATTAAAATAACAAATGGGCCCATTCATACCTCATATACAAATATAAAAATACAAAGGCTGATAAAATAGACCTAACGCGTTTCGGCCTACACAGGCCTTCCTCAGAGGTCTAATGTAAATAGAACATGTTGGCTAATATGTAAAAATATATACAATCATACATATACAAAATATGAGATAAAGACCAGAGCACAATTGTTCCAAAGTTTAACCACTGGGCAAAAATACAAATGAAACCTCCAGTGCAATCACATGTCCAGTAAGATTGTATAGCCAAATGTTCCCACTGAAATATTCCTTAAGTTAAAAGCAGTGTTGTTCAAAAAAGTGTTAAACCTATATATTAGATTCAGGACATGTGGACATGTGATTGCACTGTCTTTATCTCATATTTTGTATATGTATGATTGTATATATTTTTACATATTAGCCAACATGTTCTATTTGCATTAGACCTCTGAGGAAGGCCTGCGTAGGCCGAAACGCGTTAGGTCTATATTATCAGCCTTTGTATTTTTATATTTGTATATGGGTTAATAACAGCACCTTCAGAAGAAGAGGAGGCGATTGGATTTATACCCTGCCCTTCACTACTGGAAGGAGTCTCAGAGCGGCTTACGATCTCCTTCCCTTCCCCACAACAGTCACCCTGTGAGGTAGGTGGGTCTGGAAGAGCCCTCTCGAGAACTGCCCTTGAGAGAACGGCTCTGAAAAAACTTATGACTGACCCAAGGTCACACCAGCAGCTGTGTGTGGAAGAGTAGGGATTCAAACCCGGTTCTCCCAGATTAGAGTGTGCAATCCTAACAGCTGGATAAAAACAGCACTTGTATTGTGATTTGAAGTCACTTGTCTTGTAACCATTACAACAGCCCTCTCAGGGTAGATCAGTATTTCTCTCTCTCTGGCTGGTGGATGGGAGTGGATTGTCTAGTGAGGTGAGGATTATCATACACAAGACTTGCTTGGAAGTCTGCCTCTTGGTTATGCTACTCCACAGACTCCTAGTAATAGTGAGGATAAAATAGAGGAGGGGAGAAACTACGTGTACCAGTACCATCTAAGAGGAAGAGTGGTAAAAATGCACCGAACTAAATACAAAAGCTGTGCCACTGCTAAAGGAAGGTCATGTCTGGAAGCTGCTTTGAGCCTCTTGAGTGTAGAATGATGAAGCCGGCTAATTCTTTTGTTGTTAATCTAATTTATACCCTGCTGTATCTTGCAATAAAGCAGTGATACTCACTCAGGGGCCACATGTGGCTCTTTGACATGTCACCCCTGGCTCTTCGGGGCACAGTGTGACACCTGGCCCTTGTTTTAGGAAAGCGGGCACACAAGGTGGGCACCGCGGCTGATGGTTGGATCCCATCATGACAACGGCTGCTGCCAGAACAATGGGAAAGCTCTGAACCTCCGTGAGATCCAGGCGTCATGCTAGAGATGGAATTAAGAGGGACTCTTGTGGCTCGTGGTAATTAAATGTTGCTCTCTGCAGCCTATGGAGTGAGTCCCACGGTTATAAAGGTACCCTTCATAGGGAAGTATGGATGCTCAGTCTACCGGAGTGTTCTCCTGCCCTTCCTTAAAGAAGCTCAGGGCATCTTCTGTGGTTCTCTTCTCCCGTGTGTTATACTTGCAATGCCCCTGTGAGGTAGGTGAGGCTGAGAGTGAGCAGCAGGCCCAGGAGTGTCCGGGAGGTAGAGTGGGGACGGGTTTTGAGCCTGGGACTCCCCCTTCCAACACCATCCACCAGTCTCTCCTAGCAATAAAACATCAAACCGAAAGTTGTGTTTACAAAGTGACAGGAGGGAAAATTGGAGGCAGCTGGCGGATCTTCTTTGCTGTGGTGTTCAGGTGTGCATTTGGGGGAGGGGGGCAAGAAAGCGGCCCGCCTTCTTGGCTCTTGAACAGATAAGCCGAGGGTTATAAAGGGGAAACTGGAGGAGAGGTCAGGAGTAAAGCCAAGCAAAACAGTCTCCCTCCTGGGCAAAAACCTCTCTGATCTCTTTCCTTTGTGTAACAAATTGCTGAGGTTGCGTAATCCACAGCCTTGCTTAACTTGACCTGCAGGAAGCTTTTTCTGAGTGTATGTATTGTTGCTTACAAGACTCCACATCTTAGAGGGAGCATTGCGTACCAGTACTCTAGGCTGGGTAGGGTAAGGCGCTTACGGTCCCAGGATGACGCAGCTCTAATGATAGACCAGAGAGCCAGTAATTGGGATTACTTTATTAGCTGCTTCCCTGTCCGGCTCCAAGCCACCCATGCTATGAAATTGGGGGAATGATATTTCCATTGCACGCAAGGGATGTTTTATTGGCATGTCTTGTTTCACGCAAGCCCTGCTTCCCAAGCCGGTGTATTGTGAGGGAGCAGGAGAGAGCCCTCCTCCTGGCTGAGAGGGGAGGAGTCCAGCATTTATTCATTTCTCCGGTCTTCCGAGGATGCAGAAGACAGCTGGCGGCCCTCCAAAGCCCCCTGACCGGCAGTTGCCAACTTCTGGGTACCACCTGCACAGATGCCTTTTCTAGCAAGCAGAATCTTGGGGGAGGGTCTCTTGCTCCTGATTCTGTAGTCGAAGACTTCTCGCTGCTGCGTGCTGTCCGTAGTTTCCCTCTGGTTTAGCTTGTGCCCTCTTGAACGGAGGAAACAAAGCGTATCACATTCCTTCCTTATGGGTGTACAAGAGACCCCTTTGCGTGCGCTTAGCCTGTCCCTGCATCTGAGGATCTGTGGGCTAAGATGCTAATCCTAATGCTGAAAGATCCAGTGTGGTGTAGTAAGGGTTGCGTGTCAGACTAGGGTCTGGGAGAACCAGGTGTGAATCCCCCACTCTGCCAAGGAAGCTTGCTGGGTGACCTTGGGCTTGGTCACACAGTTTTAGCCTAACCTGCCTCACAGGAGAAAAGGGCAAAAGTCCAGGAGCATCTTGTTGTTGTTGTGGTTCAGTCGCACAGTCGAGTCCAACTCTTCGCGACCCCATGGACCACATCACGCCAGGCCCTCCTGTCCTCCAGAGTTTGCTCAACTTCATGTTCGTTGCATCGATAACACTGTCTTAACCGTCTCACCCTTTGCCGCCCCTTCTTCTGTTACCTTCAATCTTTCCCAGCATCAGGGTCTTCTCCAGTGAGTGCTCCCGTCTCATTTGGTGGCCAAAGGATTTGAGCTTCAGCTTCAGTATCTGGCCTTCCAGGGAACAGTCAGGGTGGATTTCTTTCAGGACTGACTGATTTGATCTCCTGGCAGTCCAAGGGACGCTCAAGAGTCTTCTCCAGCACCAATTTTGTGGCAGGGCGTGAGCTTTCATGAGTCACTGTGCATTTCTTCAGATTACCCCTGAGGCTCACAAAACCACCTACCCTGCCGGAAACATTGCTAGTCTTTAAGTTGCTCCTGGACTCCTGCTTTTTTCTACTGCTCCAGGCAGGCTAACATAGCTTCCCGTCTTGATCTGCCACACAGGGTCGTGGCGAGGATAAAATGTAAGCCTCTCATTGGAGAGAAAGGCAGAGTTTAAATGTGGAAATAAGAACACTCCAGGTTGGGAGAGGAATAAAATGGGACCCTGTTGGGACACCCCTTCCCCTCCCCAAACCAGTGTTCTTCTGCCGCTTCTCTGTCGAGCCAGGTTGGGTGGATAGCCTGCCGGACAAAACCAGTGCGGTGCCCTCTTGAGGTGGGGCAGCCTGCCCCGCCTGCTCTCGGTTCCCTGTTCTTGGCAGCAGCGGCGGCCGGAGCACGACGGCTTGTTCTGCTTGCAAAGGGGGTGGCTGAGGGGTGCTGCACCCCTTGCGGGGAGGAAGGGAAGGAGCCGGGATCGGTTCTTCTGTCCAGCCGTGACTGCGTCCTGTTCAAGAGCCCTCGAGCTCCATGCCTTGGAGCACGTCCTGCTGAGTAGCTGATTTTGACCTCCAGGAAAGAGTTGGCATTGGCCGCTTGTTCTGCTTGCAAAGGGGGTGGCTGAGGGGTGCTGCACCCCTTGCGGGGAGGAAGGGAAGGAGCTGGGATCGGTTCTTCTGTCCAGCCGTGGCTGCGTCCTGTTCAAGAGCCCTCGAGTTCCATGCCTTGGAGCATGTCCTGCTGAGTAGCTGATTTTGACCTCCAGGAAAGAGTTGGCATCGGCCGGGTGCCTAGAAGGGGGGAGGCGTGGCATCACGCACCGTCCCTGCACAGCGGGCGGATCCCGACCAGGCCCTTCAGCCGGCAAACTGGGCCCAGCGAACGTTGGTAGACGGCTGTTAGGCAGAAAAGTCTATTTTAATGCAGAGCTGGAAAGCAGGTACAGAGGAAGGGCGACCAAGACGATGAGGGATTGGAGCACCTTCCAGGCTGATGAGTCTGGGGCGTTTCAGTTTAGAAGAGAGATGACTAAGGGGGGGGGGAGACGAGATAGAGGTTTATGAAATTCTGCACAGGGAGTTGATGAAGACTTGTTCTCCCTTTCCCCAAATATGAGAACTTGAGGGCATCCAACGAAGCTGATGGACAGTAGATTCGAGGGGGGGGGGGAGAGAAAGGAAGCCCTTTTTTACGCAGCAAGTGATTAAAACATGGAATTCCGCCGTCAGGATGCAGAGATGGCTGCAGGCATAGAGAGCTTTAAAAGGGGAGCTTTAAAAGGTTCCCTTTAGTCTCCATGGAGCATTGTATTTTTGTCCGGCAGGCTATCCACCCAACCTGGCTCGACAGAGAAGCGGCAGAAGAACATTGGTTTGGGGAGGGGAAGGGGTGTCCAACAGGGTCCCATTTTATTCCTCTCCCAATCTGGAGTGTTCTTATTCTTTGTTGTTTTCCATTTAAACTCTGCCTTTCTCTCCAATGAGTGGCTTACATTTTATCCACGGAGACTAAAGGGAACCTCCGGGATCAGAGAGGCAAGTCGGCCTCTGAATCCCAGAGCCACGAGGCAACCTCAGGGGAAGGCCTCGGCCTCTGTGCCCTGTTGTTTGTCCCTGCAGAATAATTGGTTGGCCTCTGTGGGAGACGGGGACGCTGGGCTAGATGGACCACTGGTCTGATCTGGCAGGGCTCTTCTGGTGTTCTTAAAGCTTTGCCTTCTTTCCTCCAAGGAGCTCGGAGTGGGGAGGGGGGCTTGTCTCATCTGTACCTCAGCAAAGCTGTGTGAAGTCTGTGAGGCCCGGAGATGGCTGGCACATGAACCCGAGTCTCCCCGATCCAGAATCTCAATGCCACATTGCAGGCTGACAACCTGAAATGTTACAACTCCGTGTTCCCTCTAAGCTGATTTAGTGTGAGCTAGCTCACAGTTTTTTAGCCTCCAGCTCACAGATTTTTGTCTTAGGTCAGGAAGGAGGGCTCCAGTGCAAACTAACTGATGCAGTAGCCAAGTTGCTTGCTCACAAACTTTAATTCCAGGAGCTCACAAAGTAGGATTTTCGCTCACAAGACTCCACAGCTTAGAGGGAGCATTGGTTATAGTCACAGGTGCTGTTGGGTCCCTCGTTTCACCAGATGCCAGTCTGGTGTAGGAGAGCCAGTTTCGGTGTAGTGGTTAAGAGTGGTGGACTCTAATCTGAAAAACCTGGTTTGATCCCCCACTCTCAAGAGCAGTCCTCGGAAGCGCTCTCTCAGCCCCACCTACCTCACAGGCAAAGCTCCCTCTCTAAGCTGTGGAGTCCTGTGAGCAAAAATTCTACTTGGTGAGCTCCTGGCATTAAAGTTGTGAGTGAGCGATTTGGCTGCTGCATGAATTAGTTTGCTCTGGAGCCCTCCTTCCTGAACTAAGACAAAAATCTGTGAGCCGGAGGCTAAAAAACTGTGAGCTAGTTCACACTAACTCAGCTTAGAGGGAACACTGCTCACAGGGTGTCTGTTGTGGGGAGAAGAAGGGAAGGAGATTGTAAGCCATTCCGGGACTCTTTCTGAAGGGTGGGGTATAAATCCAGTTCTTTTTCTTCTTCTGCAAAAGTCACGGCGGCTTCGTAGGCTGACCTTTTTTGCCCCCCCCCCCCCCCCAGTGTGCCCAAGAAGTTGACTGGAGAACTGCCAAATCCATCTATGACTTCCACGCCACAGATATCGATGGCAATGACGTCTCACTGGAGAAATACAGGTAAGGGTACGCTGGGGACAGAGGTAGGTAGAGGAACCCCTGCCCCTTGGCACGTGTGGGTTGTGGCTTCAGATAAGTCAAGGGTCTAACGCAGGAGTGGAGGAATCGCCCTTGTCTGCAGGCCAGTCCTGGGGTGTGGGGTTGGAGGGTTTCCCTGATCACTGGAGCCGCCCTCAGTACTGTGATTGGGGCCACGTGTCCTGGGATGAGACTGACCCAGGAGGCTTGTCTTTGGCTAGAGGTCTCGTATTGCCCTGACCTAGATGGGAGACCACCCTGGAAGCCCATGCAGAGGCAGGCGATGGCCAGCCACCTCCGTTCACCTCTTGCCTTGAAACCCCAAACGAGGGGTCACGGTCACAGCGGCAACTTGATGATGGCACTTCCCACAATTGGCAGTGTGTGGCTGGGTCCGTGCCCGGCGATCTTTTCATATTGTCGCTGGTCTTACAGTAGCTAAGTTTGGGGTAGTGGTTAAATGAGCGGACTCTAATCTGGGAGAACCGGGTTTGATTCCCCACTCCTCCACTTGCACCTGGCTGGATGACCTTGGGCAAGCCGTAGTTCTGATAAGAGCTGTTCTTGAAAAAGAGCAGTTTCTGTCTAGAGCTCTCTCAGCCCCACCTACCTCACAGGGTGTCTGTCGTGGGGAGGGGGAGGGAAAGGAGTTTGTAAGCCGCTCTGAGACACCTTTGGGTAGTGAAGGGTGGGGGATAAATCCAATCTCTTCTAAAACGGCTGCTAGTTTGCTCTTTGCGTTTTCCAACCGGTGTGGCCGTCTAGCTTTTCACGAAGATTCAAAGTTTAAAAAAAAAAAATTGAAAAGCGAGGCTGAAATGTTGGCTCAAGCAGTTCATTCCGAGGCTTAGCAAGGGCAGGCAGAAGGGCGGGACAGCGGCGCTTCCTGGCCGTGTGCTCGTTACTTGGTTTCTAAATACTGTCGGGTCTGGAGCGCGCTGGTCAAATAAAGCTGTGGCTTAGGTGAGGGAGCTGCAGGGTACTTAACTTCAAACGTCTTACAAACAAGGTGGCAGAGGAGAGAGAACTTGAGTCCTAGGCCCTACGGGAAGGAGGGCAAAGATTTCTGGGATTCCCTGTGGCTGAACGCTGCGTGTCCCTGCTTTATCTCTCCCCCCCCAGGGGTCACGTCTGCATCATCACCAACGTCGCCTCCAAATGAGGCAAGACGGGCGTAAACTACACTCAGTTTGTCGACATGTACGGCCGATACGCTGAGAAGGGTTTACGCATCCTGGCCTTCCCTTGCAACCAGTTCGGCAAGCAGGTAGGTGGCACGGTTGCAGGGCTGGGGCGGCGGGGGGCGGGGTGTGTTGGGGGTCTGCCGCCCGCGGCCCTTAACTCGACACGGCCTCTTCACAGGAGCCAGGCACCGACGCGGAGATCAAAGCCTTTGCCGCAGGCTACGGGGTGAAGTTCGACATGTTCAGCAAAATCGACGTGAACGGCGACGACGCCCACCCGCTCTGGAAGTGGATGAAGAGCCAGCCCAAGGGGAGAGGCACCCTGGGAAAGTGAGTCTGAAAGGGCAGCGGTTTTATTGAATTCGTCTGCGCCCACCTCTTCCCCCCCAAAGGGGATCTGAAGCCGCTGACGGTATCCGCTCTCCTCCATTTTGTCCCCACAACCGCCCTGTGCGGTAGGTGAAGGCTGAGTGTGTGTGACTGGCCCAAGGTCACCCAGCCAGCTTCCAGGGCACGAGTGCGGATTCAAGCCCACGCCTCCCAAATCCTGGTCTGTATCCCACTGGCTGTCAGGTTGCAGGGCCGTGGGGGAGGCGTCTGGGCCGCTCCTCTCGCCACCCACCCCGGTGATGCCTGATAAGGATAAGAGGTCCCTTCTGTCCCCACTCGTCCCAGGGGCCCTTTTGCAAGCGGATGGTCAGAATTCACTGGGGGCCCGTTGGCTGTTGCCAAATGAAAGCTCTGTGGCCAACGGTTCCCTGCCCTCCTGAAGCACGAGGGCACTTCCCTTTTAAAGGCTTTGGAAACTGGCATTGAGCAATGCTCCCTCTAAGCTGTGGAGTCTCGTGGGCACAAATGCTACTTTGTGAGTTAACCGGCATTAAAGTGGTGAGCGGGCGATTTGGCTACTGAATAAATCAGTTTGCTCTGGAGCCCTTCTCCCTGAGCGGAGACAAAAAATCTGAGAGCCCGAGGCTAAAAAACTGTGAGCTAGCTCACACTAACTCAGCTTAGAGGGAACGCTGCTTGCAAGCAATGCTCCCTCTAAGCTGTAGAATCTCGTGAGCAAAAATTCTGCATCGTGAGCTACTGGTTTGAAAAGTTGTGAGCAAGTGATTTGGCCGCTGCATCAATTAGTTTGCTCTGGAGCCCATCCTTCCCGAACTGAGACAAAAATGTGAGAGCTGGAGGCCAAAAAACGGTGAGCTATCTCACACTAAACTCAGCTTAGAGGGAACCCTGATCTTGAGTCGTTGGCTGTCTCTAATGGCCAGCCTTCCCCCCTCTGATCCGGTCTTTAGAACGGCTGGTTTCAAGGGTAAGCTCTGAGTGCTACACTGGTCTCTGTTGCTGCTGCCGTCCTTATGACTCAGAGGCTTGCTAGCATGAGGGCGGAGGCTTTTGACCTTGGACTCAGTTGTATGTGTTGACTGTCTGAAGACCGCGAGCTAAAGCTTAAAGCCTATTTTGTTTTTTCCCTCCTTTAGTGCCATTAAATGGAACTTCAGCAAGGTGAGTGCTCTGCTTCTGATTTTTTTCTTAAGTGGCGTGTGTCCTGCCCGACTCCTTCCCCTTAAGCCTGCCTCTATTTCACAGAGAGTGATTAAAATGTGGCATTTGCTGCCAGAAGATGTGGTGATGGTCAGAGAGGAATAAACAGCTTGGAAAAGAGAATGAGAGAGATACATGGAGGATAAGTCTGTCAGTGGCTACCAGCCATGGCGGCTGAGGGGTACCTCCACCTTCGGAGGCACTAAGCCTCTGAATCCCAGAGCCAGGAGGCAACATCAGTAGAAGGTCTCAATGCCTTGTTGTTGGCCGTCCAGAGGAAGTGGTTGGCCACTGTGTGAGACAGGATGCTGGCCTAGATGGACCCCTGGTCTGATCCAGCAGGGCTCTTCTGATGTTCTCATCAGGGAAGACCTCGGCCTCTATGCCTTGTTTGTTGGCCCTCCAGAGGAACTGGTTGGCCACTGTGTGAGACAGGATGCTGGACTAGATGGACCACTGGCCTGATCCAGCGGGGCTCTTCAGATGTTCTTATCAGGGGAAGGCCTTGGCCTCTCTGCCCTGTTGCTGGCTGTCCAGAGGAACTGGCTGGCCGCTGTGTGGGACAGGATGCTGGACTAGGTGGACCACTGGTCTAATCCAGGAGAGCTCTTTTGATATTCTTATGAAGGCCTCAGCCTCTATGCCATGTTGTTGCCTCTTGGGAGGAACTGGTTGGCCACCATGTGAGACAGGATGCTGGGCTAGATGGCCTATTGGTGTGATCCAGCAGGGCTCTTCTGATGTTCTTATTTGGATGCTTCAATTCCAAAGCGGTGGCTGAATTTGCTTCCTGTAGGGGTGGGGTGGGGGGAGAAAGAGCATTGGCTTCCTTGGGGGGTTCACAGAGTCCTTGATTCGCACCCTGTAAAAGGCCAACGCTTTGCAGAAGTGGGGCATTTGAAGCATCTGAGTTCTGTGGGGTTATACTCAGGGTCCACCCAGCCCAAAGTGGGGAACTTTCTTTGGGTACTTGCAAGTACGTGGGGTGGGGGGCAGCCTTCCATCTCCCAGCATCTGGCTCATGAGGGGCGTAGCGATGTGTATCCTACCATCCTCTTCAGCAAAGTTTGAAGGCTTCCTTCATGCCGAAGCGGCCTTGGAGTCACTGAAGTCAGAGGAACACACGTTAACATGGAATCAGGCCGTTGGTCCATCAAGGTCAGCGTTGTGTGCTGAGACTGGCAGCGGCTTTCCAGGATCTCCGGCAAGGGTCTCTCCCATCACTTATGACCTGGTTGTTTTAACTGGAAGTGCCGGGGATTGAACCTGGGGCCTTCTGCAGGCCGAGCGGAGGTTCTTCCCCTGAGCCGTGGCCCCCTCCTTACCTTGGCACAGACACTACTGAGCCACATGACGTGCTCTTTAGTGTGAGAAGCCATCCTGGATCAAGCCAAAGAGCTACCTGGTTCAGCACAGCTTGTGTGGGAAGCTTCATTCATCGTCAAGACAGGGTAGTGATCAGGGCTGAGCTGGGAGTCTCTGGTTGAGGAGCAGTGTGGCTCAGTGGGAAGAGCCTCTGCTTAGCATGCGGGAGGCCCCAGGTTCAATCCCCGGCATCTCCAGTTGAAAGGGCCAGGCAGGAGGGTGTGAGAATTGACCCCCTCCTTGAGACCCACTGCCCGTCTGGACAAAACTGATCCTGATGGACCAAAGTTCTGATTCAGGGTAAGGTCACTAAAGGTATTCACTGTATGGGAGGGGCGGTGGCACAGTGGCCGAGCTGCTGCCTGGCATGCAGAAGGTCCCAGGTTCAGTCCCCGGCATCTCCAGTTAAAAGGGCCAGGCAGGAGGTGACAAGAAAGACCTCCGCCTGAGACCCTGGCCATGTTCCCTCTAAGCTGTGGAGTCCTGTGAGCAAAAATTCTACTCTTGTGAGCTCCTGGCATTAAAGTTGCGAGCGAGCGACTTTGGCCGCTGCATCAATCAGTTTGCTCTGGAGCCCTCCTTCCTGAGCGAAGACCAAAAGGGGTGAGCCGGAGGCTAAAAAACTGTGAGTGAGCTCACACTAACTCAGCTGAGAGGGAACACTGGACCCTGGGGAGCTGCTGCCACTTTGAGTGGACGAAGCGGACCTTGATGGACTGAGGCTTCCCACTGGGCGTGTGGTTCGAGTACAACCTCGGCCCCAAGGAAGCCCAGCTCTGCCTCTGTCGCAAGCAATGTTCCCTCTAAGCTGTGGAGTCTTGTGAGCGAAAAGTCTACTTTGTGAGCTCCTGGCATTGAAGTTGTGAGTGAGCAGTTTGGCTACTGCGTAAATTAGTTTGCTCTGTAGCCATCCTTCCCGAGCCAAGGCAGAAATGTGTGAGCCGGAGGCTAAAAACCTGTGAGCTAGCTCACACTAACTCACCTTAGAGGGAACACTGGTCGCAAGCCTTGCCCTCTGCTCGTGAGGGGGGAGGCTAGGTCCGTCTCTTGCTTAGTGGATGCACAGGAAGCCCTCCAACTTCACGGGCCAGAGAAGTGCCTGACCTTCGACAGCTTTCCCCCCCCCGTTTGAGCCAAATCAGACTCTTGTTCGTTGCAGTGTCAAACGTTCTGTGCTCTTTTGGGGTCACTGTCTCTTGTCTCCTTTCTCCAGTTCCTCATCAACAAAGAAGGCCAGGTGGTCAAGAGGTACAGTCCAATGGACGACCCCGTGGTAAGTGGCAGGTGGCTCCTTCTCTGTGCCCTTTTTTTTTGGCGGGGGGGGAGCACTTGAAATGCACCTTTTAAAAGCAGACTCCAGTTATGGCCCTGTTGCCAAGGCAAACAATCTGCCTTGTAACCAACGGAGGGGCGTCCTCAGGTCAATCAGGCTAGAATCCTGTGCATCCCTTGTGCCTTTTTAAGAGGATGGTTTATTTGAGTGGCGGTGCTTGTGGATTAGAAGCCCCTCCGGTGGCTGGAGGCTGCAGCTGAACAAACGCTTGTGCCATGGAGTGCCAGAGGTGTGACTCCTGAAGGGCTTGTCCCCTCTCGATCTGTTGTTGTCCAAATTTAAACCCTTGGATGTCCAGTTGAAATTTGCGGAATTGAGGATTTTAATTTTTTTGCTGGAAGACCGGAAAGAGAGGATATCTTTAGCGGTGGCAAAATTTTGCTTCCTGGCCTTTAAAAAGAGGAAGCTTGTACCTTAGATAGCAAGTTGATGACAAATTAGCATTGTGTTGTATAGTTTTAATGATATACTGTATTCGTTTTAATGTTCTTTTATGTATCCATCTGAATTTTATGTATTTATAGTGTATCTTACATTATTATTCCTCTAGGTAATGTTTTATATTGGCTGGTCGCTTGACCGTATAAATAAACTTGAACTGCTGTGGGACTTTGGCTGGTCACTTCACCGTATAAATAAACTTGAACTGCTGTGGGACTAACCCCAATGTAGTTCTTCTACAATCCCCTAGGAGGGAATTGGCAGAGGGAGCCTTCCAAAGCCAGCTGTGAAGTCCTTCTTTAAGGCTGTGGGCTCCACTGATCAAGTTGGAAGTATGGGATAAAATTTTAGCCTTCCCTCCCAACGACCCCTTCTCTCCTTACCTCCCCCCACCACAATTATAGAGGGGGTCAAAAGATCACACTTTTTTGGCCCAGGCATGGGACCCGCTAGGTGCCCTTCAGTGGCAATGCTACTCAGTCGCTCCAGTCGGACTTCCTTCCCCGCCCCTGCAGTCAAAGGGCTGACACCTGTGTTCCCTCTAAGCTGAGTCAGTGTGAGCTAGCTCACAGCTTTTTAGCCTCCGGCCTCACGCATTTGTGTCTTAGCTCCACAGCAAACTTGATTGATGCCGCAGGCAAATCGCTGGCTTGCAACTTTCACGCCAGCAGCTTGCAAAGCAGAATTTTTGCTCACGAGACTCCACAGCTGAGAGGGAGCATGGGTTGACACTGGAGTGACTGTCGATAGGGTTTGACACTGCTTGTCACTTCAGAGCCAGAGGTCACTAATGTAGACTTTTCAGCAGGCCACTTGACAAGCTGCTCTCGCTGAAAGAAAGCCAACTTTCTCCCTTCACATTGGTAAAATGTCTGCCTAGTGATGACTGGCCCTGGGCATTGGATGGACTAGAGTTTACTTCAAGCTGAGACCAGAATACAAGAATGGGTTAATGTCTCTGAAGGGGCTCCCAGACTCCTGTTGGTTGTCTGCTCCCAGACTTGGGTGGCTGCCTCTCTGGCATCCCCAAGGAAGCGGGCCCATTCTGCCCCTCTCTCCCTTTCCAAATCTCCTCTTAGATGAAACCTTCAGCTTAACCTTTCCTCGGCCAACTATCCCCGGTGGAGCGTGCTCCTAGATCTTTGAAATTCAGGCAGTAGTTTCCCTGTACCAGGAAGTTTTTGTCGCTCTCCCTTCCCGTGAAGCAAGGTGCAACCATAGAGGAACGCAGCACGTTGTCCTCTGATCAGGACTGGCTGTCGATTGATTCTCAGCCGGGCGCCCTCCACCTCGAGTGTCTCACGGTTCTCCTCTCTCCCACAGGTGATCGAGAAGGACCTGCCCACCTTCCTGTAGGCTGGCTCCCGTCACCCTTGATGGCTGTGCGCCCGGCGGCTGCTCTGCTGCTTTCCCCCTGGAGCCTGCTTCTTCTGCCTGATGACGGCTTGCCTGCAAACCAAGGCTTTTGGTGGGGCAGGCCCGAAAACCCGGCATGTGTTGGCAGGAGGAAGGAGGCCCCACGGGGCACGCCTGGGAGTAGCGGCTGTAGAACTGGGCCTGTGCTGTAGCAATAAAACTTTGTTCTCCTCAACCAACTTTCAGGATCCTGTCCTGCTTGATGCTGGGGGGTGGTTGGGGTGTGTGTGAAATCTCTCTGGGACACCGATGCAAGACCTGACATTATTCAGGGACTTGCTCCTACAGAAGTAAACACTAGGAAACTTATGCAGGTGATGTTTGAGGGCATGTTTTCATGCCCACAAGGTTTGTTCTTTATTTTTGAGAGTCCTCCCACCTAGATCATACCCTTCTTATGTCTTCCACTTGTCTGTCCCAAATCTCTTTTGAGCATTTTTATATTCACTTGGTTAAATGTGCAGACACCTGTTAAGAGCCTCGGTCCTCCAGAGGGACTGGTTGGCCACTGTGTGAGACAGGATGCTGGACTAGATGGACCACACTGGCCTGATCCAGCAGGGCTGTTCTTAGGTTCTTATCAGGAGAAGGCCATGCCCTGTTGCTGACCCGTCCAGAGGAACTGGTTGGCCCCAGTGTGAGATGAGATGAGATGCTGGACTAGATGGACCACTGGTCTGATCCAGCAGGACTTATGAAGGCCTTGGCCTCTGTGGTTGGCCCTCCAGAGGGACTGGTCGGCCACTGTGTGAGACAGGATGCTGGACTAGAGGGACCACTGGTCTGATCCAGCAGGGCTCTTCTGATGTTCTTATGAAGGCCTCTGCCTCTCTGCCCTGCTGTTGGACCTCCGGAGGAACTGGTTGGCCCCCGTGTGAGACAGGATGCTGGACTAGATGGACCATTGGTCTGATCCAGCAAGTCTCTTCTTGTGCTCTTAAGAAGGACTCCTTTTTCAGAGTGATTTGTGTGTTCTTTAGGGGAAGATTGGTGCATATTTTATTGGAATGTCCCTTGTCCACAATACTTAGGAATAGAGTTTTAATATATTATTTGGTAATTTCTTTCTTAAAGTAAAGGTAAAGGTTCCCTTGCTCGAAAGCCAGTCGAATCCGACTCTAGGGTTGCGGTGCTCATCTCAGTTTCAAAGCCGAAGAGCCAGTGCTGTCCGAAGACGTTTCCGTGGTCATGTGGCCGGCATGACTAAACTCCGAAGCACACGGAATAATCCCCCACTCCTTTTATTACCCTTCCTGTCACTTATTTTTTTTGGTTTGAGCATAAAAGCTCAAACATCAATGAATATTCAAGATATATTATCAAGAGATATTTGCTCAAGATACTTTATCAAAAGAGCTTTAATCAGCAGTACGCTGATAAACCAGGATCACTTCCTGACTAAAGATGCACGGGACATTTGGAAGAGGTGCAGCTTCTCTCAGTCATAGAGAGGGGTTGGTTAGGGTCCGGCCTGGCTCCAGGCCCCCAGAGTTATTTGTGGCAGAGGATGAAAGCTCTGTCATTGGGAGGGGTTGTGGCTCAGAGGATCTGCTCAGCACGCAGAAGGACCCGGCAGGTGTTGAATCTCCAGTATTTCCAGTTAAAAGGATCCAGGAGGTGATGCAAAAGAAATCAGCCTGAGACTCTGGAGAGCCACTGCTAGTCTAGAGTAGACCGTTTGGTGTAGCGGTTGAGTGCAGACTCAAATCTGGAAGAACTGGGTCGTAGTCACTGCTCCGCATGCAGCTGCTGGTGTGACCTTGGGTCAGTCCCAAGTTACCTCAAGAGCAGTCCTCAAAAGAGCCCTCTCTGCGCCTCCTACCGCACAGGGTAGGGGAAGGCATTTGTAAGCCGCTTCGAGACTCTGAGTGAAGGGTGGGGTATAAATCCAATCTCTTCTTTGACGGATCCCAAGGGTATGATTCAGTATACGGCAGTGTTGTGTGTTCGTTGGCCTCAAGAGATGTACAGTGGCCTGAATCCGCCAGAAGAAAATGGAGAGGAACTGGCAGCTGGCAATGGATTCATCGTGACTTCATAACCAGGCAAGCTGGCTTGGTTCTAAGTTAGCAGTAGAACCCTGTGCTACATTCCTGACAATAAGAAAACTCCGCGGGGGGAAATCAGCTGACAACTGCAACCCTGTGGTCATGCTGCCACTGATCCTCTCTGTTATTGGGGGTGGGGAGAGATATTTCCAATCAAGTACATCCCTCATCTGAGTATGATGCACACAGGGGGCTTTGCACCACTGATCTGATTTTTGCCTGTCATCCTTACGGCAGAACTGACTAGTCAGAAGTCTTGTGACTGCTCAAATTGCTGTGAGGTTGCAGCTGACTCACGGTGAGCCCAGAGGTGGTTTTGCCGGTGTCTGCCTCTGTGTAGTGTACCCACCCTGGAGTTCCTTGGTAGCCTCCCATTCAAGGACCATCCAGGTCTTTCCTTGCTTCGCTTCTGAGATTGGGCTAGCCTGGGCCACCGGGAAGGAATTTGGAGTTTGTTCCCTAAGGCTGGGTTGGCTTGATAAGGAAATGAGAGGCGGGGCACAAACATTTCTCCTGTGTTAAGCACATCTGCGGGGGGGGGGGGAGGCCTTGATCTCTCTGAAAGGAGAGGAAATCTTGTAGTGGGACTGCTGTCAGCTGCTATGTTTCTATGGTTTTCTGCCATGCTTTATGGCTCTGCTCAGCTACTGTGTTTTTTTCCGTTAATTTAGTCCAGCTTAAATGCAGGCACCTGGTTTTAAGGGAATACCTGGAGAAACTTAAGCCATTCTGTCTTAAAAGACGTGAAGGGGGTATGGAATGAGCAAGCCTTCCATTTCAGTTTGGTGTAGTGGTTTAAATGCGTGGACTCTGATCTGGGAGAACCGGGTTGGGTTCCCTACTCCTCCACTTGCAGCTGCTGGATGACCTTGGGGAAGCCATAGTTCTGTCAAGAGCTGTCCTTGAAAGAGCAGTTTTCTCAGCCCCACCTACCTCCCAGGGTGTCTGTTTGTGGGGAGGGAAAGGAGTTTGCAAACTGCTCTGAGACTCCAAGGGAAGGGCAGAGTATAAATCCAATCTCCTCTTCTTCTTTCACACAACAGACCCAAATGAAAAATATAAAGGCTGACTTAGAGCAACACAAAGCAGTTCAGCAGAGCCCGTGAGACCCACACATTTCTAGATTAGCTTTCACCCATCAAGCCGGCTTCTTCAGGGACAGAGTTGGTGAGACTGACAAACTCCAACAGAAACAGATGCTACTGAATGTCGTTTTGTTTTGCTCCAATAGACTTAGCAGGGCTTTACCCCCCTTTGCAACAGGTTGTCCAATGTTGGCAGGAAAGACTAAAAACCATTTCCTGGCAGGGCTGGTGAGCAGGAGGTTTTAGGCTGAGACCCCGTCACCAGGGTGCGGAGAGAGGGCGATTCATCACAACAGAGGGTGATGCTTTGGTGTGTAATCTCTGGCAGGAGCACATGACTCACTTCTCCCAGGAACAAATAGGAGACTGCCTTGTGACCGAGTACTGAGTCAGGGGGTGGCCTCAGGGATTAGGACATTCTCTGCTACTCCAGACAAGAGGCTCTGAAGTCATACTTCTAAAGCATGTGATGCATGGACCCAAACCTTTCCTTCTAGGAGTTCACTACAGATTGCGAGAGAATGCATAGCAGCGTCAGGACCAAAGTGGTCGGCGCTTCCGAACCTCCCTGCCCCCTAGTAGGTAGTGCTGGATTCTCACGTAAGCAGCTTGGGAGGAGATTGGTGGTGGATGATCCCCAAATGCCATCAGCTAGGACAGCAGAAGCCCTCCAGTGACCCAGCCTAGAGGCGCTGCTTTCAACTGAATCGCTAGCCACGCGTTCTACGTGGCCTGGTGTGTACCTTGCCCCCAATAAGCCAGGGTTCTTGCTTGTTCTGGCCGATGTGCAGCGAGTGAGAGGAGAGAAACCCAGTTCTTCAGTCTCCAGGCCTGCCCTTTTGCACTCGAGCTGCTACTGAGCCAGAACCCAGATTAAATAAAGCTGCAGGCAACAGGAAGTAAGGGGGGAGAGAGGAGAAGAGAGAGCTGTGGGGCAGCAGCACATCTCTCTTAACGTCACGTATGGAAAGTACAGATGGGCTTTTTCTAGAGCGCATTTTGATGCCTTCCCTGCTAACTTACTGCAAGGAAGGGGATCTCCATTGGCCTATCCATCAAAGAGGTTGTCTAGGCTCAGATAAAGAAGTGGAAACAATTACACTCTCTATTCTGGAGAGAGACATCGGTTAATTGCTCCTTTACTCTCCCTTGGACATTTATTTGAAATCTGCAGATACTGTGCCGCTAAAATATTTGTTGGAAGACACCGAGAAGTCAGTAACTCTGGCCGTAGCAAAATATTGTTTCTTAATAAATAAGCGAACGTTTCTAACAAAAAGCACAGACCGAGGATAGTTTTGGAGAGGATAATTTTAGATCGGATTTAGCATCGGGGGATGATGACGGCTTTAGTTGGGGGGGGGGGTGGGCAGTTTGCGATTGCAC